ATGGACCAGGATGAGAAAACCAAAACTGTTCCACAGGCACTGGGATTCCCCTCCAAGCTGCCCTGTCCAAGAGCTGTTCATGAGGGGTTCATCCAGGTTGAGAATGTCACTGACTAGAAAATTCTGCTATCTGGTGGGAGGGGAGGATATGCAATTTACAGGCTACTGGATAGATGGCTCCTTGGTTTAATTCCACACAAGAGTTCTCAGGGTGTCATGCACATGCTACCCTCATTCAGAATGACACAACTGGTTTCCTTCCACCTCAATCTGCCCAGTCTTCACCCACCAGGTCTATGGTTTATGTGTTCTTGGCAAAGCACAGATCTAGCTGCAACCAAGTCACTCCCATCATGGCCTTGCACAGCTCTAGCTCACAGCTCATGGACAAGGCTGTTGAAGGAGATCTCATTATGTACAACACCTGTGCTAGCATTAAGCCATTGCTTACAGATTTCTATGAAAATCAAAAAAAAAAATAAATCCACAAATGCCATAATATCATTATTCAGCTTCCCCACGGTGATCCTGAATGCTGCTGAAAGGAGCACCACGTGCAGCCATGCAAGAATAAAAGCCTGCATGAAACCAGGCGAGCGCTAAAGCTGCCTTTCTCCAACATGTGTGTGGAACAAGCAGCGACTGAAATCACTAATGGTGACATTGTTTGCAGCTGGCTTATCAAGCTGCTACCAAGCTTCTTTGCAAGATGATTTTTAGATAGGCTATGCTCAGCAAAAAAAGCACAATTTCACAAGCAGAGAAATGCTAATGGGAATGTAACAGTACTCCACTGCGTCATTCGTCACAGCACGAGTGTTACACAGGGAAATGAAAGAATAAGAAAGACACAATTCAAGAAGAAAATGGTCACCATACTTCAGATACAAGGCAGTCATACATACATACGTATATATATCTCTGCTCTTTCTTTCTCCCTGTGTTTTCAGTACACAGCTGATCTTTTCATCTGCTTGGTATATTTATACAGTTCTACAGAAAAATTCAGAAAAAGTTACCAAAAAATCCCAAATGTTACAAAGATTATGAAAATCACACATGCACATATTTGGAGTCTTCTCTCTCTAAATTTCACACTAAAATATGCTTGCTTATCTACTTACTGAAACACGAACTATGCTAACACCTTCTAATCTGTGGTTAACCTGCTGTGAAGAGTAAGGCAAAACAAAAGATTTTTTCACCCATGGAAGGAAAATATTCTGGTAAACATTCCTGCAAGAAAATCTTTATTGTACTCATGCTTTCAAGGGCACAGAGGACTGTGTCAAGGTTCCTTTTTATGAGAACAAAATGAAAAAAAAATATCAAATAGTGCTCATAAAGGGGGTATCATCCATCTTGTTATGTATGTAGAGAGAAAAACACAACATGTGAGTATATAATCTAAAACTCCATCACTATATAAATGCATTGGAAGAGTAATTAAGGTTGTATAGGCACCATTCTTCTTTGAGTTTTGAAGACTTTGTCATACAATCTGAACAATATCTTTTATCATAAATTTTGTTAAGGATGTGAAAGCAAGAGAGATGCAAATGAACTAATAATGAACAAATTAATAACTAATTTTCTAAAATTTCATAGATACAAAGAGAAATCATTCTTGAAGGCATAAAGAAGGAGTAAAAGTGAACAAATAGGAAAAAAAATCAGCTCCTCTAAATAAGGTCTATTACATTTCCTAATGACAAAGGCTAAGTGTAAACAATTCTCCCAAAATTCAGTAGGAAAAAAGCTGACTTTTCAGGTTATTTAAGAAAACTAAACAAAGTGGCAAAGCCACAGTCAGCCACACAGCCCAGTCACAGAAAAGGAGATTCATGGCCTATTCCCATCTCTGTGATTCACATTTCAGTGCCAATGCAGATCATTTACTTAGCAGCAATTGTCTTCAAAGTGCTGCGCAAACATTTTTCTTTCCAGTACCACCTCCCCTTTTCCCTTGTCTGCAATGGGGTAAAAAGTAAAATCTTTTCTAACAAATGGATAAAAGAACAATTGGGAAAAATGAACAAAAGGTTTTCAGTGATATGGCCATGGCCAGATAAATGTCCAACGAAAAAATGGATGGAAGCCACAGTTACACCCCACTGCTATTTAGAAGAAATTCAGGGATGTTTTGCTCAGCAGCGCATCCTTACAGGCTGTACAGCCACAGACCTGGAGGTAGCCTAGCCTGCAAACACATTTTAATGTCAGTCGAGAAAAGGCACAAACTGTGAAAGAAAATAAGTCCTTGCCTTGCTAGGACATGCTGGAGTTTAATTCATGCTCCCGTAAAATTTATGTGGAACAAAACATCAAAAAGTGGCAGTCAGTGGAACAGAAATGATGTATGAGGTGTCTGATAAGTGCTCCTGTACACACCAAGATTTGACATGACAGTGATTGCCAAGCAATTTCTTGCACGGCTTTCTCGGCACCCCCCGCGCCAGGAGCTGCTTCCTGGGGGAGACCCGAGCTCTCATAGTCGGGGTCCCGCGTCCCCCAGGGCTGACAATCCGCGTCTGCTCCCTCTCACAGGCCCGCGGGGAGCCCCGGCCTGGGCACCGGCAGCGGCGCCGTTCCCACGGCGGGGGAAGGGAGCGGGGCAGCGCTGCGCCCACTGCGGCGGCAGCCGGGAAGCGGGAAGCGAGCTTGCGAGCTCCCGCCAGGGCGGGGGAGCCTTCCCACTCTGCCGGCCACCCGTGCCGCTGCTTGAGCTCGGAGAACAGGAAAAGCAGCCGAATAGAAGAGGCAGACGCCGGGGCGGGTCCGCTGCCTGCTGGGCGTGCAGGGCGGGGGATGGGAAGCCGAGGAGCAGAGATGTTCTGTGTCAGCGCAGCGCCGGTGTCACGTCCCTCCCGGGCAGCCGAGCCGGGCCGAACCGGGCCGAGCCGAGCGCCGGTGCCGGGAAAGCATCAGGGCGACGGGGAGCGGCGGGGCCGGCAGCCGGACCCTCAGCGCTCCCCGGGGCCGGGGTCAGCTGCAGCGATCCCTGCCTGCCCCCTCCTCGTCCGTCCCTGCCCCACGGCCTGTCTCAGGCCCCTCCGACCCTCCCGGCCCCACCGTGCCCGCTCGAGCCCCGTCCCGCCCAGCGTCCCGCTCGGGAGCGCCGCCGCCTCCAGCACCACGGAGAGCGCCCGGGCACCCTCGGCCCGCCCCGCCCGGCAGAGACCACTCCTGCCCGGGGCACCGAACCACTCCTGCCCCGGCACTGAACCACCCCTGCCCCGGCACTGAACCACCCCTGGAGGGCACGGCCCACCCTGCCCTGGCCCTGGAACCCCGGCGGGTCCCTCCGCTGGGGCGAGGCCGGCCTTGTGTGCGTAGCACTGCGCCGGTGCTCACCGTTTTCTCTCACCACAGGGAATAAGTTCCTCTCACCACAGACATCCAGCCGCAAACCTGTCCCCTGCTCACCAACGCCCCGACACAGCCACAGAACCGAGGGCCCAGAAATGACACACTCGAGAAAGCCACCGGGTCCCGGGGCCGCCTTCCCCACGGGCAGGGCCGCTCAGGAGGGTGGGTCGGCCTTGCATCCCGATACAGCTGTTCTCATCCCCTGTGCCTTGCATCCCGGTACACCTGTCCTCATCCCCTCTGCCTGCTCCTCAGCAGGGAGCCTCACGATGTCTGCCTTGCCTCAGCTCACATGCTGGTGTCTGAGAATGGGGATGTTTCTCTCCTCAGACTCACTTACAGACTTTACTATTCTCATTTAAAGAAAAAACCTAGTTTAGTTTTGTAGCATTGTCATCACTGTCTCAAAGAGAAAGCTAGCCTTATGCCCATGCTCTGAGTGATGCTTCACTCAAAGATGCTCTTCACTGACTTCAAGGAAGCTTGAGAAGCATAATTGTGAGTGACCAATTCTAGGGAAGCAGACACAAAGTGAGAGCATCACAGCCAGGGATGGCATGCAGTATGGCCTGTGCAGCTGCAAACAGCCCCACACAAGGAAAACAACGGTGCCAATGCCCTGCTTTTCCCACCCACCCGTACACACCCAGGAAACACATCTACAAGGAGCATTCTCCAAATTGCAAGCTGAAAATTTGCCCAGGGCCCTGTCTGTCTGGAAGCAGCATGGGAGTCTGGTATCCTTGAAAGCTCTTAACAATAAGGCTGGTTATCCCTTGAGAGAGGCAAATGAGCTCCAGCTGGACAGTGAGATGAGAAGGCAAAGGTGGAGCATCCCTCTCTTTGTGCCAAGGTCTTGGATACTGGCTCCTCTAGGCCAGCAACTGCTCCCAGGCCTAGAAGGTGTGAAAACAGGTCCCATCACTGCCCTGTTTCTAGAAATGTTTCAATTAACCTCTACCACATTTGTTTAGTGACTGCCAGTTATGTCACTGGCTTTCCTCTTGCCAGGGATAGAGAATTCTTAAAATTAGTGTAGGGAATTCTTATAACGTGTCCATCCCCTTTCATGTAATGACCACGTGAGATCCCATCCTGCACACTTTATCAAGGGAATCAATCACATCTTCCTAGTGACTCTTACCATAGTGCATCAGGGAAGTAGTTACTGACTTCTGTCCACATTTATCCTGTTCTGGGATTTCCAGAGCCCTTTGAGAGGGTAAGCAGGTCCACCTACCATTTCCCAAGGTTAAGTAAAGTTTGATATGACCAAGGTTAGTTCTGGGGACAGTAAAACAGTAAAAAATGTACTAAAATGCAGAAACATCCAGTCTAAAACAATTGCATAGGATATCTGTGTACCCTTGCAGGAGGCAAAAATAATCTGAGCAGCTGTTTTACAGAAATGGTCTAGGAAATCCCTTGCAATGATCCCTCTTCTTGTTGTATCTTTGGAATGAAATATGTTAAAATGAATTTGTGCATGTTTTACAGGTAGCAACAGCAGAGCCCTCAACACCAATAGGCTTTTTTCATGTAAGACATAAAACATTTGACATGGAATGTACTATTAACACCAGACCGAGGGGGGAGAAGCATCCAAGGACTGATTTCCATTTCAAACTGCATTCTGGCACTTTGTACTCCGGCACCATTGGTGGATCAATATTTAATGCCCGGAGATTCTGGCTCTGCAGGAGTCATGTCAGGGGACCTCTCGAGCCAATCTGCTTGGGTGGAGGAGTGATAATTATTCATGGGCTCCTGCCTCTTGCTCCTTCTCTTGCACAGCCCCACTCTGCTGACTCAGTGCCTTATTCAGTCTTCTCTCCCTCTCTCCACTGCTGTAGCTGGACCCCTTTGCCTTCTCCGCCTCTGAGAGCTGCACATCCCAGCATGGCTAAAACAGCAATGGGTAAGAAAACGCCTCTCTTTTCCTTCAGCCAGCACTAAGGCTGCTGTCTCCTAGGTCTGCTACCTACCCTGGGTGTTCTCGCTCTCCCAAAAGTTTAGGAAAAAAAAAATCAAGAGAACACTGAATGTATTTTTTATTTCATTGATCAGAGAAAAAAGGAGAGGGTGGGTGGGACATGGGGATGTTTTAACGTTTTAGTATCTAACCAGAGATCGGATTAATCATATAGCAATGGGTGAGGTCGGCACATGAGCACGGTGTAATTTTGAAACGATTTTCATTATTTTAAAGCTGAATAGATATTTT